GGCGCGCGGTCAGTGGGGGCTGCAGAAAGGTGCCGGGCGCGCGGGCAGGTGGAGGGAGACTGGGGAGAGGAGAGGATGACTCCGGGGTGTCGCTCCTGGGTGAGCCGAGCGTGGCTGCCATCCCTGGACGTGATCCAGGAACGGATCCCCAATCCGAGAGGGACCTGATTCGGTCTCCTGTAGCCCGAACCGCCTTAAGTAGCAGCATGATGTCCTCTGAAGAGGATGGATTGGAGGGGATCCGCAGGAGAATCAACAGTTCAGTTCTGGACAGGGGAAAAGAAAATTAATCCCTGGTGGGAAGGAAAAGGCCAAGAGTTTGTTCCCAGAGGGTGCGCCCTGGAAGGGGGAAAGCACTGCGGGAAGCAGTTCTGTCAGGTGGGACCGCGCTGTGAGGCTACTCGTTTTTTTTTCTCTTAGGTCCTTATTTATGTATACGTGTTTTTATTTTTTAACTCTTATTCTCGGAAAATCACAGACCCTGTACCTCATCTGTAAAACGGGGATGTTGGAAATGAGAAAGTGTACCTTTAGAGCGTGGAATAGTGCTTAGCACGTATTGTGATGTGAGTGTGAGCAGTGTTCCTTAGACAGTTTAGGGTTAGGAGAAAGGCGATCTCAGATATCTGATACTGCGTTTAGCAAGTATTGCATATGTAATACATACTTGATATTCAATATTATTAATATTCGCTCTCAGCCCACCATTAGATGCTTTTGTTGATTGTCTCTACCTTTAGGTCCTCCACACACCTGACAGCATTGTGCTCTGCATTAATAAATGTACTGATGGCTTAGCTTCCTTTGGATGTATGTAGTGGCTCCTGGCAGAGTCCATCACCTTTATCTTTGTACTCTGATAAGGCTGAATATAATAGATGTTTTATAACCAGGTGTTGAATCGCGTCAGTGATTCTGATAATGTTAAAACATTTATATGGTAAGCATGAGTTACTAATAGCAATTATGATATGTGCCAGATCATCACATGAAATAGCAGGAAATGTATTGCACTTGAAGATGACGTGAAAGGCATTTGTTAAGGTCAAAATCTATTACATTACTCGGTCCTTTTGGTTATAAGATTATTAAGGACAAGGTATACTTGTGTTCACTCATTCAGTTCTTTCATATTTGCTAGACGAGTGTACATGTTAATACAGTATTTCAGTATTACTGAATGATTGTGTATTGTTAACACGGTATTCCTGTAAAGGCTGTGGGAAAGGTAGGAAAGAGAAAAGTCTTCATTGTTCAGTAGCTCCCTACTTAGTATTTTCTTTAAATGACCTAAATAAACATCACTGTAGATTTTTTTTTTTCCCCTGAAGATAGAAGCACAAGGACTTTGTGGAGCCAGAAAGAAGGGTTAAAATGCAGGGCATCCTTGGAGAGGGGACTGGAAATCAGGACTGATGAATCTTACTCTTAGATTAAACTGGAGTATAATCACCTAAAGTACTGTGTGCTCTTTTTAGTTTTTGATAAAATTTTTAATACCTGTATGGTGCTTCACTGTTTAAAGTGATTTTTGAAATTCAGTATTTTCACTGAGAGCAAATTAATGCTTTCACGATATGAAGAAATGGATCCAGTGAAATTAATGAACTCGTTCAAGGTCACTCAGCTAGAAAGTATAAAGCAATTTGCTAGTCCAGCGGGGAATACAGTGCAGTGTCCAAAAAGCTCTGGCCCATAGGAGGGAAAGACATTAGGGAAATGCCCACAAGCTGCAAGACTGAATCCTGAAGGCTAAGTTTAATAAGGCAGAGGAAGCAGGGAAAGAGAAAGACATTCCAGAGGAAGCAGGGAAAGAGAAAGACATTCCACCTAGACTGGATGGCATGTGCAGGGACACGGTAGTGTGAAAAACTTGCTTGGCGTTTTGAGGAAATGAGGGCTGCACTGCAGGGGCCAAGAGACGCGGATGGGTTTGGGATGTGACCACCACAGGGATGCAGGTATGCGGGCTGGGGTCTGGTTTGGGACGGAAGCATAAAGTGGTGCATTTGAGGAAACACTGCACAGGGCAGATGTGTAGCGCTGAGGAGTTGGACTTTATTCTGTGAGTGACAGTGACTAGTTGAAGGTTCTCTATTCCAAGTAGATGTGACTAGTGCCTCTGCAAAGGCTGGATTGGAGAACGAGAAACACAATGCCACCAGAATACTGGTGTTGCAAATCAGTCAAGAAATGGTGAAGGCCTAGAAGCGTTTACCTCAGGTAACGTGGAGTTAGGCCTCTCCAGTCTTCTTTCCTTAAGCAGATAGCTATAAGGCCAAGTAGACTTTATAAATTACTTTGTTAATATAAGAGCAACCCCTGTTTTGTCCCCATCTTAGCATTGTCTTTATGCACAGTTCTGTTGGTATCCAGGAACACCATTGGATCTACAATGCAAAGTTTTTTGTGATATTCTGTAATTTTCCATTTCTTCCAAAATCCTATGTAACTTTGTTTTAATTGGTTCTTTAGGTGTCTGTGAATTACAAAAATTTTCACTCCTTCCTGGGAAAGTTCGGTCCCAGTATGGTGTCCTCATTCTTTTTTCAAACGGTAGGACTCTTACAGTACTTTGCAGTGTTTCACCATTTTACTTCTCCTCTTTTATCTTTTTTGGAAACTTTCTGAATAGTGGTATTGAAAGGCTTTTAAAAAAAGTCCAACCGGTCATTTCATCGAATGGTGGTAGGAGTTACGTAGATTTTTGTGGCCTAATTCAGCCTACTGCATCAGAATATCAAGGTAAACAAGATAGCTATGCCCATTCTTAAAAACGTACTAATTCCTGCTTCCTTTTGAACTTTACTTACAGATAAAACTTGAACTATTGTATATACATGAGTCAAAGAAATAAAATCGTCCTGTATAGATGGTCATAATTATTATATATGACAAAATAAATTATAGGCATTTATTTTTGTTTTATTGTGTTTAGATATTCTTCTGGCTGCATGTGGGCATTTTAGATGACAATTGATCATTGCTGAGTAATGGTGAAGTGAACTGCCTTGTGCTCAGTGTTCCTCCCAAGCTGCTTGTATTCACTTCATAGACATGTTTTCAGGGTTACTATATGTAACGTGCTTAGAACAGAAATGAATGCTTGATACTCAGTGTTAACTATGTGTAGATTAAAAAAAAAAACTATGAAATTATTCTTAGAGGATCACATAAAGGTTTATAAGGTTAACCAGTACCAAATTGAGAGTTCACAGTTCGTTGTTTATGAGCCTGTGAGGTAAAAGAATTTGGAAAGAACAGTGGAAAGTGGCCAAAGCATTAGTTATAGGTGATGGAAGATATGTGGAAAATCATGAGGTCACAATAGTCTCATAGCAATTTTGATGGCCTTGATGCATGCTTGATATGCACTAGATAGTATGTAATTTCTGTTCGTTGATTTTTTTAATACAAAATTTTTTAATTAAATTTTTACTATAAACCACAGGTGTCTCCTCTTCGCCTATCTCATAAGGCCTACTTACATTGTTAAAATTTTGAACCATTTTCGGTTTCAGATACTTTAGGTATTAACCAGCTGTCTTCATGATATAATGAAATCAAGGGAAAATTATACTTCCAACAAAATGAGATAGAAAAGCTAGAATTTTTCCCTCAAATATGTGGTGCTTATTAAATTTGCATAAATATAACCCTGTTTTTTATTCAAGCATGAATAACAGCTAGGGATGTAGTTCAGTGACAGAATACTTGCTTGCCTAGCACATGTGGGGCCTTAGGTAACAATTCTCAGTACCGCCAAAAACAAAAAGCAACAAAACAAAATTTAAAAACCAAAACAGCAACAGTGAATAACAATCTGTTATTTGACATAGGGCCTCAGGAGAGAAAATTCTTTTT